AAAACGCAGGCAAACGTACGATTTCATGATTTCATTATTTTAAAAAATCACAAGACACCTTTTTTATTGCCGTTTTTTATGAAATTCGTATAAATGCAAAACATACTTTACCAATGTCATATGTTTATAAATACACAACACACGGTCAAAACTGTTTTCTTTTTTTTTTTTAACACTTATGCCGTCAGATATTCATCGTGGGACTTAAAGTCATTTTTTTTATGCATAGGTATACAACGTCAACAATACAATAAGTTTAAAATATTATAACATCCGTATACGTATTTTTCATTTGGTCATTCATTGTGCCTGCAAAGTGTTCACCTACCCACCCGTGAAACTACTTTTTTGGACTAAAATATAATATAATATTTACGACGTCGTCGACAGGACGAGGAAAATAAATGTCCGGAAACTTTTTTCGCGTACGAAAAATATCTGTAAAGATGCCGGAGAAGTTTTCCGTCTCTCTGGGACGAACAAACAAACACACACATACACAAACAATAATAATAATTATTAATTTATCGTGTGCACACATAATATGATGCTATTATATACCTAACCGTGAGGGCCGCCAGCGGTGGTTTGACGGCACACGATAATATCTCGTTCGTCTTAAAAGTATTTTAACGTAAAGTTCTCTCTCGATTCTCGCGTAAAATAAGTGCCGTAGGTACCTATCGTTGAGGACAGAAATGTATGTCACGTCGGCAGTATTCAATAGAGTCTTCCGAATTTTAAGTAACTATTTAAGAGAACTATTATGATATGCATTTTGTTTAACTTTTTACTCGTTAAAAAGAGCATAAATCACCGTCAACATTAATTTACAAATTAAAAAAGAACACAAAATTCAAATCTCTCTACACACAATTCATTTGATAGTATACTATTTTCGACTTAGGGTACTCAATGTTAAGGGCTGAACGTAATAATATACTTCGAATCGCGGACAAGCCAGTAGTGTCGGTTGAAAGTTCTGAGAAAAACCAAGAAATTGGTTTCGAGGGTACCTATAAATTGTTGGAAATTTTAAGTAAATTATTACCGCGCGCCAGTCGGAAATTTCTCATCGTTCCGGGTACCTATGGCGTGAAAAAATCAGACCTTCGTACTCAGCAAAAGTGTGAACTAATACGACGTATAAAGGAAATTTGTCGATCAATTTTTCAAACCAATTATATTCAAGTATCCTGAGCCGAAAAATTCGTAACTTCCGTGGTATTACGACGTGAAAAAATCGAAATGTTTTTACTAATTGAAAGAGTGTTTTCCGATTAAAAACACATACACTGCACGTTTTAGTAAAACAACCGTGAGTCAAACAACTGGACCGTGAGTCTCTGAACTCGGAATCCTATACTTTCATGTGAAATTATTTTTATGATCCTGGATATAATACCTAACATAATAATAATCATTATACGGGCAAGCCACGTGCGGCAGTTTCCTTTGCGAAAGTCGTTTCACAAAATAAATACGCGGAACAACCGCACCGCATGTTTTTTAAAAGGCTCGCGGAAAACCATACGTCGTCGAGCATATAATAATTAGTATCTATCTATGTAACCTCGCGTATAGGTACCATCCTATACATGACGAGATAGCGACACGGGCTAAAATACTCGTCGAGATAACAACATTTTATTGCTTACGTGACAATAAAACGATATCCGAGAACAAAATAAAAAAAATACGTTTATATGATAAACCGTCAGTTAAACAGCTCGATTATAATATTTTGTTGTACGCACACGGCCAGATTCATACATATAATAATTATAGGACATATAGGTGCCACAGACGTTCAATTATTTTTCTCTAGCGTGTCGAAATTTGTTTTTCGGAACAAACAAACTATGTTGTCATATAGTTACGAACAATAATTGATAATGACTGGACTATCAGTGACTTGCCGGTTAATTATCGACCCAGACTCGGTCACAATACTTACTATATACGATACGATACTATACGATGATATACTAAAATATTTTTATAGATAGGTGTAGCATTGCATATTTTATAAGAAATTGTAAACAAATCGTTTGTAAAATTGTATTCATCGATGACAATTAAGCATTAGGAAACGGACTTTACGCACTTAAAATCCATAAAAATATTGCAAAAAGAAAAAATGGAAAATGGGTTTACAAGTTCCTCTAATTAATCGCTCTGATTTATTAAATACAATTTTTGTAGTGTTATACAATTTCATTTTATTAGCTGGAATCGATAAAGGAGAACACCTTTACCATTTTTGCTTTTTAAAATATTTTTAAGTCCTTTTTTTCTAAGTTTTTGAAACATTTTTTTTTTGGAATTTGAAGGGTACATAAATCCGTTGCTTAGTAATAACAACTGTGATGGTTAAATATTTCAAAATTGAACTCCAGAAAGTATATTAAACATCACAATTTTAAACAAGAAATATAAATACTTAATATTCAAGTATCAATGGTACCTATATAATATAACCCTGATCCTAACCTCATCATAATCTATTATATAGTGACCTATAACTGCGTAACCGCAAAAAATCGATTCTTCGTTTGTAGTTCGTTTACGTTATTATAACGTTATTATAGGTGTACGGTATACCCGGTATAATATTGTTGTTATGTTTGTCAACCGCCTAGTGTAATTATGCTTAAGGAATAGCGGATAGTCAATTTTTGAAAAAAAAAAAAAACGAAGAAAATGTATTCACTCAAAAGTTAATCCAATAATGTATGTACAAGTATCCGTACAACATAAGTAGTGCCATATCGTTAACACAATATCGTGTATATATTAAAAATGAAAATAATTTTCCGTACGTGCCTAAATTCGACAAATGTATCAGTAATTATGAAACGAGCCATAATATTATGAATTGTAACGAAAATAACCATTTTTTTTTTTTTACATGTATTCAAATGTCAAATAAAACCATAAACTCGATAAAATGCGAGTCGGTTATTATTATAAATGAATTGAATAGGTACTCGTATACCTGCAGTATATTGTATAATTATAATGTGCATTTTAATACATTTTTTACACGAGAAAAAGCAATAAAAAGAAATTATTATTGATAATTTATTAAACGCGCATTCAGACTTGGTCGATATTAACTATACCGTGGGTCTCATATTCAAATGAGGCGTTAACCCCCACATTGATGTTAAAAATGTTGGCCAGCCCCGACATTTCCAACTATGCACAACAAGAATCAATTGCTTGTTCTACTTGTAAGTAAACCCGAAACGGAACTCTAATCTTCCTTTAAAAAAAAAAAACACCTCCCAATTAAATTTAAGTCTTTACAGCTAAAATATTTATCTACTTTATCTACTTCATCTGAGTGAAACACACCGTATACAAAGAATAGCTCAATATCGACAAAATCACGAATCGTACTATGATTGCATATTTCATTGGAAACTATGCGCTTTCGTAAAAAAAACAAAAAATGTGTCAGCCGCATTACGAGTACAGACGAAATTTGATGTCATTGTTCGCTGTATAATTGCTGTCGCATATTTTTATCGTTTTGAATGATAAAAACGAATATCATTGTATTATAATTATTATAATATTATGTATGCCACAATGTGATTACTATATTATTTATACTACTATACAATTAGAATGATTTTTAGCGGGGAATTGAGCTATCTTTTCTTTCAAAGCGCGTATTGATTCCCCATTTTTTTGTGCACATATGGTATATAAGCATCCGCGTTCCAATCATATGCAATGCAAAATGTCTGGTTAGCGTATATATATATAAATATGGTACACAAATATTATTTACATGTTTCACCTAAAACAATGTTTCCTAGCGCGTACAGTTAAAATGCCACGATATATACCATAGAATAGGGTGACTTTGTTAATAGGGGACGAGATTGATTTTTGCTATCATTATTTATTCAACCTGTTTGTAACGCCACACGTTTTTTTTATACATAATTCATTATGTTTTTCTTGGTTAATAAACGATTGAGACATGATAAAATTTCCCATTGATTATCGATATTCCCGATTAATTGTATATAAACGAAATACTATTTATTTAAACCTATTTTAAACTATTTATTATCACATTTGAAAATCCTACAAAAGTCATTCCGTTGGATATTTAATGCTATCAATTTTAAACTACTGGATCAAACTTCATATGGGTCGAGATCAGTGGCGTACAAAAGATTTTGCCAAAGAGAGAGATATTGAATTTCGAAATATTTTGTTACATAAATTGTATAATGTGTACTTAAAACAAATAAAAAGAAAACATTTTAAATGTATACATTTTTTATAGGTATTTTATAATTCAATCTGTCCTAACATTAACATTGATACATTATTATAGTTATTATTATTATTAGTTTAGTTATACTACTCTAAGAATAAGGAGAAGAAGAATCGTCTTTATATTAAAGTTGTTCAGATACGTTTCATTTTTAATATGGGAATTTATCTATAGTTAAGGTTTTTCGTTTTTATTTATTAACTAGATAATTACCAACACACACATTTTGATTTCTCTGACTAAAATGTAAAGAAATTCAAATATGAAAAATAGGTTTTCGTTTAAATATCAGGTACTAAAACAAAATGTCTAGTGGGGATATATATCTCCCCGATCTCCCCGCTTAAATACGCCACTGATTGAGATTAATAGGTTTTTATGCACTAAAATCAATTTAACATAGAAAATAAAAATGGATATCAGAGTGACTTTACATATAGTGCAAGATTGATAAAAGAACATTGAAAATATTATACTCAAAAATTCAAAAATTAAATAGTATTTAAAAAATATCAATACACCTAATTTAAGGCAATTAACAACTTGAATTTAGGGCTCTTGTTTTAGGTTTTTATTTGTTAATATAAAATACAGTTATATACAAAATAGCTGTGCTTATAAATAATAGTTTTAAAAAAATATTACACAGCTAATTGATGTACGTATAAATTAAAATTATAAATACATGATTAGTAGTTAATTACAAATGTGATTTTTTATGTTTCAGCATTTCAGTAGGCGTCAAATACAATACTTTCGAACACGCTGGACAATCGTAACGTTTTGCGTTCGGTTTTAATTTTATCTCGTCATCTCGTGCTTCACCTGTAAACAAATAAACAACTAAAATTAACAATCGACCATCATTAAAAATTGGACCGTTTTCATAAGTTGTACAAAATGCGAGAAATCTGTCTATAAAATCGTGTTTATTAAAGTTTTACTTTTAAATGTCAAAAAAAAAAAAAAAACAATGTGTACACAAATCTTTAGAGTATATTGCGTATTTTTTTTTTACTTTTTTACTATATATTCGATCCTTTTCACTGAATATTATAATAATATGATATATTTTAATAGTTTTTAGTACACATAAATCCGTGTTAAACAGTCATGTTACCCATTGCGGGTAGAGGAATGGAACAAAATATGGACCATCAAAAATTCAGAAAAATGAAAATTTGGAGCGGCCAAACGAACTGGTAATCAACGGACGTAACCAATGCGCATTTAGAAGCGTCCTGACCGATTTGCACAATCTCGCTAAAGACGCTGACAATAATGTAATGGCTCAAAGAACTCACACTCCAACTAAGACGATTAGCCTGATGGAAAAGGTTACCCGCTAGAACCGAATCATTATAACGATATGTTTTTAATTAAAACTATTAAACTGTTCAACATATTATACTTGTTTTTATTATTTTATTTTTATTTTTTTGTCTGGCAAATGATAACACCAAATAAATTCACTACTTATATACATACTATACAAATGGTCGAGTGCCCGGAGTACTTATTACCTACACCAGATGCAACACTGTATTCACCGTTTTTTTTTTTTTTTTTTTTTTATGTAAAATTAATTAAAATATATATAATACATACACTTCTATAACATATCAAATTCCAAGCGTCGCTCAAAATCAATAAGTGTATACAAGCCGCGCCGAACCGATAATAATCGACAAACAAAATAATACAAAGGATCGCGATATCGTGTTCAAGTATGCGTTTCAAATAAATAATAAGGTAGATCCGTCCGTGCAACGTAAAATGTAAAAAGTAAATATATATTTCGTTCGCTTAAAGTTCGAAAGTATTTTTCAGTGTCCGCGATTCTATTTCCGGGCCATCGAATATTCGGTCCGCTCCGTTTGTTTTTAAAAACGATTTCTTCTCGGTGATTGCCGACAATTTCTTAAAACTTGGTTAATTATTCTCAAAGTTACTATTGCGAGTAATCGGTATCACCTAACCGTAATGTATATTATTCACATAATATAATATGCCATTATTCTTAATGGCCCGCAGCATGGGTAAGTCAACTATTTTTTTTAGATTCTGAGCCGAACGAGGAATGAATTGGTTTTACAATAGGTAAAACTCTGTTTTTTTTCTGTGAAAACCACTTTTCTACCAGAAATTTCGCTCTGGATTTCAAAACCAAAATCAGTCTCTACATAATAGTTACGGTGCGGAAATCTCGATTTGACCGTTCTGAAATAAAATCGCGGATCTCGCAAATCTCATTTGGAGAAAAAAACGTATAAAACTCGGCTCGGGGCAGGTCATAAGACCGGTGCACTAGTAATATTCACGAGTCGTGTATAGGGTACAGAATTGTAAACCGCGCTATACACACTACCAGTACAAACTGCACTGCGGGGATCCGACACCGAACTGTAATATAGAAGCGGATCGGGTTTTCCCGGTAGGTTAGGTGATTTTCTCGGCGCAACCCCGGGGCGTGTGCGGACTTTGAATATCATTCCGAGTGCACGACGAAGAATCGAACGAATATTTTAAACGACATCTCGAGACGATAAGCCTTGTTTGCAGTCGCACAGGTACTTATATAATATGTATATATACGTTATTCCGCTACACACTATGTATAATGGATACAGACAATTCAAAAACAAACTCGGAACAATGATAATTTACAACCGTCCGGTTACAAAAATGTTATTCTCTGCGAACATTTGAATATTAGAAAATAGACACCGAGCCTTTTTTTTTTTTTTTGTTTTTCGTGTTCGAACCGACAGCAGTGAGGGATCTGTTTTCACGGTACTTCCCCGACAGACACCGCCGACACGCCGCCTTTCTACGTGTGTGTTGTGCATAAACCACAATATTTCGACGTTTTTACTCGAATTTAGGATCGATAGGATCCGTAACGAAGAAGTTTTGGAAAAGGTTTTAAAAACATCGTTTTACGGAAAAGTAGGTCATATTCTCAGAAACGGAGGGTTGCTAAGACTGATTTTGGAAGTTGATGGAAAAAAACACAGAGGATAAGATAACGATTACAATACACGAGTCAGATTATAGAAGACCAAGAATAGCCGAGAACTAAAGAGGAAGGCCTGCGACAGAGAAACGTGGAAGTCGTTGCAAACCAATCATTATATATTGCAGAAGAAGGCTCAAATTTATTGGAATTACCTCCGATTTTAGTGTTTTTTTTTTTTTTTTAAATGATTTCGATTTCTTCGGATTAATCGCAAACTATTACAGTTCCTAAACGACAATCAATTTACTTTGTTACAGAATCACAATATAAAATACCGTTTTAAATATTAGATATATGTACAATAGAAAAATTATCGAGTTTATTACTCCGGCACCTACAAAATATCGTCCCAAGACCGCAGCAAAAGTAATGTTATCGATCTTCATTTTACCCGTACTTACCGCGTAAGTACCATCACTTGTACACTGTTTTGTTATACACGTCACTAACGAGTAATGGACATTAATTTACAACCGAACGAGGTGCGCTTAAATGCAGATAATTCACATAGCTACAGAACTCGTTTAAATCGTGGTCGGTTCCCGCCGAATCCCGAATTTTATTGCCGGACCTTTGAACCACAGTAATCGGATAAAACATAATAATATAATAACATATATTGCCGGGCGGATGAAAATGAGGAAGAACGGAGAGGCGCGCGGTCGAGTTTGAAGGAAACAATATTATAGTTTAGGGATCGTCGAAAAAGGAACAGTGACGGGAGGATATGATGGGCTGGGCGCCCACGGAAAAACCAATACCCGCTACTACGGACGGAGCCGGAACAGAACTCAATGGGGGAGGGGGGGACCCTTTGGGAACGTGACGGGAAGACGCGATAATAAAAAACGTTGAAGAGTTAGGAAGCGGACCAAATTGGCCCGCAAGACAGGATTATGTGTGCCTCCGTGTGCCTGAGTTTGATGGGAAATTTTTTATTGTTTTTGTTACTATTCGAACAGAAACCAAGTCGTGTCGGCCAAACCAAACGATAACACACACCTATATGGCCTAACCTATCCACTCTGGTGTCGATATTATGAAAATGTACACCGATCATAATTATTTATTTACAATAGTTTTGTTCAAGTAAGAGTAATTAGTCGAGACGTATTAAATTAAAATGCATATAATCGGGTCATTGCTGCAATAGGTGTATCGGTATACACCGACATGGCACGTATACAAATTTACTAATAAAATTATTTTTTATTTTTTTTTTTTCTAGTTTCGAAAAAAATAAATACAAGTTATACACGGCGTTTGTCACGTTAAAATATATTAAAATAAAAATATAACAACACTATACATTATACAGGTAGGTGTATACTTATTTAAATAATTAAATACACAAAGTCGTCGTCGTCGTCGTCGGCACGAACGCCACGAATTCAACACATTGCATAATATATTATTATTATAATATACCTACTGGACTTCGTATTGATCTTTGAAGAATTATGTATATTTTTTTTTTATTTTTTTTTTTTGTGACTACACGAATATATTTTGGTAGAGCATAAAAAACAATATCCGATAGTAATTATTATAAATGAATATTAAAAGTGTCAAGGAAACGACTTGAAATACAACCGATGCATAAAACGTTTTTGTCGAATTTTCCGCGAAAACAGAGACTGCGCTATTACCGCACACGATGTATTGTTTCTGATATTATATTATCATCTTTTTTCCGCTACTTTTGGACGTTTTATTTTTTTTTCTATAGCGACTCCAAATGAGCTTGAACTCGGGAATTCGAATTGTTTTGAGAACTGCACTCTGATACACGTCGGGTTGAATTTTACTACGTTTTTGCGATTGCACGGTTTCATCTTTCAGTTTTGTTACACAGAACCCCAAATAACGACAAGGGAATGACATTTTGTATACGCGCAGAGTTAGTATCATCACGGATGTGGCTTTTAAGTAACCGCGCCTATCATTTTTATGGTCAAATTTCAATTATTCATTTTTTATTTTATAGAAATAATTATCATTAAAAATGAACAAATCTCGAACGTTTTGATTCTCGTGGGTAATAATAGTTTGATAAAATTAAGTGCTCCGACCGTTTACTTGTTAACTTGTTTACGAGTTCAAACATATTTTCATTTTATAAATCAAACTACTATAAGTACCAACATTTTTATCAGGCATATGTGTAGGTACTTTAAGTTCATAAATAACATAAAAAATAACCATACCCTTTCCCCTTAAACGGGTATCGGGCAGTATATCAGTGGAAAAGTGGCCGTTTTAAAACGGGGAAAAATAATAACACGATATCTGATCTTCTCCGTGTAACCCCAACGGAAACTGGAAATAAACGAAAACAATGTCCGATTTTCGTATTTTAAGGACAAAACGCACGGGTAAATACACTCTTCGGGGGCTGAATTCCGGGATAAAAATTATACAATAAAAGGCCCTTGAAATTATTTCGAATAACGGTGAAAAACGCATAGAAATCGGTCAAGTAGTTCTCGGGATTTTCGCTAACAGACGAGCAGCTAACTGCTCTTTGTATAATAGTACAATACCTATAATTGTATTTATTTTTTTTTTACACCGAGGATACGTTGGTAGAGTTAAACAATCGTCTGAGTTCGTGTATACAAATAGAATTAACAATTTAGGTACTTATGCCTACTCGTATTTACAATGTATATATATATTTTTTTTTTTTATTGAAGGAATACCGGAAACAAACGAAACACGAAAGGTAGTTATATTATTATACTATACAGTATAGGTATACGCGGTGAAATTCTCGATCCGATAATATGATCCGTCCGTAACGATTTTAATTTCGAATAATAATAATAACAATAATAATAGGCAATGGAGCCCACAAGACAACACCCCCCCCCCCCAAAAAAAAAAAAAAAGCTTTACCGAAAGTTAAAATAACCGCATCCAAATGCAATAGCTCAAAATCCCAAAACTCATTATTATTGGTGTATTACCAAGGTGTATTGGTATTTATCAATACACTTTGATCGGTATCCAGTCGATGGGTATACTCAGTGATCTTAGAATTCCGCTAATTTATCGTCACAATATTGTACAATGGCGTAGGTTGGTGGTACCGACCACCACAGCCGCTCGATGAGAATCGTCTACCCGGATCATGTATGTTTATTGTGATTTAGCAGGAAAAGTTGTCGACGGATTCGGGAAAAAATAAAAATGAAATTGCAACTCGCGTTCAATTTGTTACACTGCAAGTGTATAATGTAAAATGTTAATAATATTGGACATTTTCGAAAATGCGCATAACGCATTATACTGTAATAATCAAGACTCCGCCTACCCGTCCCGGGTTATCGCCTCCGCGCCCACAACGGGCCGATACCTGTTTATAACAGGCGTTGTCGCTGTCGGAGTTGCGAAGAATATTATGGAAACGAAAAAACAAAAAAAAAAAAAAAAAAAACCGCCCCTCGGTATCTCGCACTGCGATATAATACGTACACAACGTACCTTCGGCGGTGCCGGATGTGGTTTGAGAGCCGCACGCTTGCCGGTGTTGCAGTTTTTCGAGAGCACTCGTCGCCGCTACGGAGCCGTTACACGAGGGACAGGTCCACGGTTCGCCGACGGCCACTCGACTCTGGCCCGTTAAGCTGAAAGAGACGGCCGCGCGCGTGAGATAATGGCCGCGGTAAACAAACGTGCACCGTGTACGGTGTTACACACCGGAGTACGGTAATTCATGCTCACCAATCGTAAGTCAAATACGGCGATAGCCTCAGGCCGCCGTATTTATCGTCCTCGCACACCTGCCAGCCGTCGTCGTCGCAGAACGGGTTGGGACCCGCGAACCGTATCGGTTCGCCCGACGGTCCGACGTACATGACCTTTTGGTCGGCGGCCAACAGTCTCTTCACGGTGTATCCGATATCGGCGTTCATGAATTCCACCATCTCCTGGGCGAGTTTGCGTTCCGCTCTTCGGTTACTGTTTTCTGAAGGAGAAAAACAATAATAGACAGAAAAAAAAAAAAAAAAAGATACGGACATATTTCGCACGATGAATGGGCCCTGCAATGGCGGAAATACTGTGGGTGGACAAGTTGGACAACAGGCCACTCACGTGTATAGGGACCCCGGACCAAGGGCATTATTGGACAGGCTTCCTTCTTTTTTTTTTGTTTTGCTCATCGGCCCCGAACCAATGCAATATTTTGCCACTAGCATTACAAGTTCTAGTCGCGTCACTGTTGCAAAAGTGAAAAGTCGGGAAAATAGATGGGAAATTTAATGTATATCTGTACATCCGTGCTATAATTGAAAATCGGAGGAAAATTGCTGGTAGAAAAGTTGTCCATGGTTAAAAAAAAAAAAATAAACTCACTCCGCTCAGAATCTAAAAAACCGCCATAAACAAATACGTCGTATAAAATTAGAACGAGAAAATGGGTCAAAAAGTTATTATTATTACCGTTACAAAATATATATATAATAAAAACATAATAAGTACCTTCGAGTTTGAGTTTCAAAAGATTGTCCCAAGTGTTACGTAGTTTCGAAGCTTTGAGTATTAGAGTTTGAGCGGCGTCGGGCAGAGGAAATTCTAATTGCAGCCATGAATCGCATATAATTCTAAAAAAAAAAAAGTAAAAATAATAATAATTTTAAAGCGGAAAAAATGGGCAAATTTAGTTTGCCGTGGATCTCGCGATTTTTTGCCCTTGTACTACGAGTTTCGAAGTAATTTTCCGGACGGGCTTTGTTTTCAAATTATAGCCATTTGGAATTTACCGTAAAATTAAAACATTTTTTTTGTTGATGACGCAATTGCATTTCACGTTCAAAAATGCGACATAATATTATGCTCGTATTATTATATATTACTGTTTCTGTATACGTCAAACAGACTATATAGAAAACTTACACCGTACAGCACTTCAATAACTGCGAAATTTAATTTATACGATTTCAACAGCAGTGACAATATGCATTTAAAAAGGAAACATGTTATTCAGAAACCACTTGTTGTTAGATTATTATGTAAAAAGACCAAATGAGGCCCTCGAAAATATTTACACCTCTATGCCTGCAAATATTGCAGACCTTGGATGTTTAAAATACTAAATTCCATAATTTTGAGTAAATACATTTATGAAGACGATGTTTTCATCTTGTTCTAAGCCTTATAGAGTTCTTGCTAACCGCTTTTGAGACAGGGCCTGAAAGATGATGGGCAGGAAATCCCCACGCTCCTTCGCAGACCACATAAACTATAATAATCAAACGGGTGGCCACAAAGGGCTGGAACTTCAAAACCACCAGCCCGACCGAATGTTTTAGCTGAGGCAATTCATTCTTGACTCAATAAAATAAAATTTTAGAATCCGAAAAAACCAATTAACATAGCTATTTATAGCACGATTATTTTAATTACATTAATACTAACTGAGAGAAATCTTCATTGGTACAAATGTTTCTGCTAAACAAGAGAAGAGTCTGTGCTCCTGGCATTCGTAAAGAGTTCATAATATAAGCTTTGGTAGTTTCTAAAAGTGACCTGAAACATAATAAAAATTATATTTATCAATTTACTATATTTATAATTAGGCAATAGCGTGGTGAACGACATGTTTCTAATACAACTGAGTAATCATTGTATATATTTATGTAAAGAAAATGGGGGAGGGAGGTGTGGGTGGGTAATTTTTGAACACTTTACTTAGAGTTTGAAACATGCTCCACTGCTATTGAGTAAGTATTAAAAACTATTATTATTTAATATTTAGACAGTTAAATTTCTCTGGATATCATTCATGTTAGTTTCTCACTTTCCTACTTTAAATTTAAAAAAACATGAGTATATTAATTTCATTCAACTTCAAGAAATAGAAAATATTATATTAGTCAATTGCAGGAACCAGTTATACATAAAATGTATTTAATGAAATAACTAGAAAATTAAGATGTATTAATATTTAAAACTTAAAATTTAATATTTTACATATCGATTATAAAATTATGTTAATTTTATTTAATGGAGAGCACTTTATAATATTGTTTAAAATAAAAATGAATAAATCTATAAAATATTATTGGTTTTTGTTTGAATCGCAAATAACTATGGGTAAAGACGAATTCTAGTTTCCGTATAATCGAGATAAAGATTCAAAACATTGTTAAACATTAATAAAAATATATAAAGATAAAATTTGGCGAAAATAACATTTTTACAATAAAATGACACAGAGAGCCATAAAAACAGCTAGGTAAAGTCTTCCCCTGGAAAAAAAAATGCATACAAACCATTCATTGCATGTAAAACATTTGACATCTAAATATATTACACAAATACACATATTTCTTGTTTTATTTTAAATTTTCGTTTGAACTTAAAATTCAAATAATATAATAATTATAATAAGAATTATTATAATTAAAATAATATTTACCTAATAATGAAATATTGCCTAATAAATATGGCTGAAATATTAAATTCTTTTATCTTTTTTGTATTAAATTTTGTACTCAAATTACTTAATTGAACAAAGTGTTTGTATCTTTACATACTATGTCATATAATGGTGTGCTATGAACATATGGGTAAATGATAAGTCTACAAAAATTACAACAACCAAAATAAAAATAAAAGCATTTTGTTTTTGGTTTAAAATAACGTTTTCCTTATTTATTGCCTCCTAATATGTTAGGGGATAACAAAATACTGTAATACAACATTCAATATTTTCGTTAGAAAAATTGAATACATTTTAAACTTAATATCTAAATATAAAAGTTGTTATCTTGATTTTGAATTTGTAGTGGATATATTTAAATAAATATTAAATACCTATATTTTTTTATTGTTTAAGATATTATTATGTTTATTATAATACGTAGGATTTAGAATGCAATTTTAAAACTCTCGCATCTTTTATTTTTATGAATATTTAAACCATTTAAACCAAAAAGTTCATTTACATTTTGCAAAAAATGATGAATAGATTAGTTTTAAAAAATAATAATAGAAAGTATTATAATAATATTCAACAACTTTAAATTATGTATTGTTTAATACACAGTCTATAGTTTTATTCAAATTTCTTGACAAAAATAATAATAAATACCACGCCCAAAACTACATTTATTATGACCATTAAATTGCGTGCTCTTGTAATAGGTACAATATAAATTATTTTTATTTTAGTTTTTCATAATGTTTAACGTCAAATAACGGGCGTGTAATACCATTCCAATGTTATCTAGTACCTAATAAATACATTTTAATGTATAATAATAAAAAAATTGTTTCTTTTTTTGTAACGCTATACGGTTTCTATTAATTAACTAACCGTATAATATAATTATATGATACTTTGAATAGACTATAGAACAAAGAGGGCTTTTCAGAATTCAGTGTGTACCAGACTTTTTTTTTTATGAAATATAAAAATATACTATTGAACTTTTGAGTAGCCTAACCAAATAGTAGTTTTAAATATCATTCATTTATTATACCATACCAGAACAATGGGTCCATTCTAGGAAGTATGCTAGAAAATATGTATTGAGAAGCACTTTCCTAAATTTTTATTATTATTAATTTAATGTAGATATTAATGGTATTATTTTATTATTTCGTTAAATTAATTAGCAACATAATAAATATATAAACCTTATAAAATTAAATATTTTGTTAACTTGAGAAAGACCATTATTATTTTAATTATAATACTTACATATATATTAATATTTGATGCTTGGCGCTAACAGAGTTTTTTCCTTTAAATTCAGGAACGTAGATTATTTCAGATTCAGTGAGCTGAAGTACATCCGAATGATTACCAAAATAACTCATAGGATGGAGAGACACAAATGGTTTACCTTCAGTATGAAATAAATGTTCCTTTGTAGTCTACAGACAATTAATCAAATATAAATGTAAATGTATTAATAGAAATTTTGTGGTTAATAAACAAACATATTATATCTACAACTTAAAAAATATAAACTGATTTATAAAAGAACTTATATGAAGTTGTTTTAAATAAAACAATATTAATATATAAAAAATGCTTCTTATTTATAAAAGATTTTGTATAAATATATTAATAATAGTAAATAGTAATATTATTATAAATATATTATTCTTACCTTACACGAATTAAACTCGTCAGCAATCGCTATATGAGGATATAATCCACTACTTAAAATTATTTTTAACATCATTAAGTCTTTATAACTTATTGCAGTAGATCCTTTCAACAGTTGCTAAAAATATATATATATATATAAACTCTGCTTTTATTTCTTCAAATTTTATTAAGTAGGTAATCAAAATATGTAAAAATTTACTTTAACTTGTCGTTGATTGTGTCTCAGTCTAAAATCTACATCTCTTATATCGACTGAATTGTCTTCAGCATCTAAATTATCTTCAATTTCCCACATATCTTTCTTCAATACTTTTCTCTTTCTTGAATCTTCTTCTTTGTGAGTTTTTTTCATATCCCGTAATAATTTCAGTTCACCATACCTAAGGGCTCTTTCTGCACTAGTCATGTCATCCATATTTTTTTCTTCATTTTTAACTAAACCACATTCCTGAAAATATGACATTTATAGAAATTTGAATTTAATTTTCCGATAAATAAATAACAATATCAAATTTACATCTAATAAATCTTTAAACTGCCGTCGTAATTTAGTCATTTCATAAAAACGCTGTTCCTCAAAACCTCGTCTTTTACACCATTGTCGTGTATTAGTATTTTGACCGCCACTCTTCAACTCTAGCCATTGTTTAAATGCATTAAGTAGAATTATAGGATCACCGTGATCAGATTCTAAATCCATCCTTGCTCTCTAAATAAACAAAGTATTATTATTTAAGTTTATATTTAAAGGACACAATAGCAAGGGGAAAATATAGCAGACATGGCTCATAGACACTATTGTATATGAGAAGTTGAAAGGTATAATTTTTAGAGAAATTTAGTTCATATACTGTACACAATAATAAATAATTGTAGATAAAAAAAACAATTCTTGATCATTTTTTAACTTCAAAATAGACTACAATTGTTCAAAAAAATATTTCATAATGCATTTTTAAAAGACTTATAAAAAAAATTCAGACATTACAATCATATTTTTTTTTCCGCTAAGTACAACTTATAATGAACTTTGTGTAAAATTTTATAGTGATTGTAAAATTAATTTCTTTTTTACAAATTTCATAAAAATTTAACTATAAACAAAATGACCTATATCCATGTATTATTTTCTAATATTTGTATAGACAAATGAATATCTAATGACTAACCTCACATTCAGGGTCTTTGTAAGCTTTATTAGTAAAAGGCGATTGAACTGATAGTACACAAGCTAATGATAAAACAGGTTCTAATTGATCAAACAAAGATCCCATTATTAACATTTTTCCAAGCGGTATGTCGACTGGTAGTTGTGACAACATCTTCCCAATAGGAGTCAGTTTTTCTTCTTTAGTCAATGCTCCCTAAAATTATAATATGTATGTCAATTATTAATGTATTTGAACTAGATACTAGAAAGTATTATAATTTAATAGCTACATAAACTTTATTTAAGTATTAATTTGATAGTAATGATTGGAAATATAATACAATATTGAATTTGAATTAAATAGTGAAGACTTGTATTTTCTGTAACCAAAAACTGAATCCAACAATTAATGTATTAACATGTTATACAAAATAATTTTAAAAAAAATAAACATAAATTTAAATTAAACAAATCATAGTTGCAACAAATTGAAACAATCTAAATTAATTTTTTTAGGAGAATTTTAAGAAGTTAAAATCAGTAATAAACAGGTAAAAAGCTTGCAAACAGTACACCACTGAATAATCTTCAAACTTGATATTCAGTATAAATAACTGGGAATTCTCAGTCAAAGTGTTTAATCTAAACACATACAGAATATTTTTAAACTCACATGTTGTTTCAACGATTCTATAGCGTTTTCTACATTTTCTGCTTGCGGGGGTTCAATGAATGGAAACAGACGAGCATTGGGCAGTCCCATGGACACCATTTGAAGTAACAATGCATCGAGGGGTACCTTTTGTAACTCTGGTGTACTGTACTCGGCCATAGATTCAAATTCATCTTCTGAATATAAACGATAGCAAACTCCTGGACCAGTACGACCTGAGTGAAATTTGATATATATACTATGAAAAAATATGATGTTGATAATAACATTGCAACACAAATGAATGTACCAGCTCTCCCTTTGCGTTGATCAGCACTAGCTTTGCTCACCCAGAACTCTTTGAGTCTTTGAACTTTACTTTGTGAATCATAGCTCATTTCTTTTACTTTACCAGAATCAACAACAAACCGAATACCATCTATAGTGATGGAAGTCTCTGCTATGTTAGTAGACACAATGCACTTTCTCGAACCTTCTGGTGCATAATCAAAAACCTAAATAAAACCAAACCAGTAATATTAGTAGACATTAAATATGTAATGTAATATGTATTTAAGCATATTTATGTATAATGCTCATTAAAAATACCTTGTCTTGTTCTGTCAATGACATTGAGCTGTGTAAAGGAAGTATAATCCATGAATCGACTTTTTCACAATAAATTCTAGCAGCATCCACTACAGCTGTAATTTCTGCCATACCACTTAAAAACATGAGTACATCACCTCTTTCATGCTTGGGATATTTTTTATCGATCATATGCATAATTTTAACAAACGGTGATGCATCAAAACGTTCCGATTTTTTACCGAGTACTTTCATTTCACTAACAATTGGATGGTATTCTAAGTTAATGGGATATAAACGACCAGGTACCTAAATAGATTGACATATTTTAGTAATGAAAAAATATATTATAATAATAAACTATAATCCAAAAATCTACCTGTATTAATTTGGCTAATGGAGAAAAATATTCACTAAATAACTCTACATTAATAGTAGCAGACATAAGAACTAGTTTAACATCAGGTCTTTGGAATAACAAACATTTCATAACGCCCAACAAAAAGTCTCCATGTAAATGCCGTTCATGTATTTCATCCAAAACAATAACATCATATTGAGATAGTAAATCTTCTCCGCAAACCTAAATATATTAAGCTTTATTTATATGTTCTGCACAAATTAACATTAAATAACAATTCATTATACAATTTTTATCTCAATAATATAGTAAAATAAATATGATTAACCTGTCTTAATAATAATCCTTCAGTTAAAAATAGAATTTTTGTGTCTTTATTTACAGTTTTTTCAAATCGGATTTGATAACCTACATCATTATTATGGATTGATAAAGATTCATAAGCCACTCTCTTTGACAATGATATACATGCAATACGACGTGGTTGGGTACAAGCTATAAAATATTATTTGTATCAGGAATAATTATGAATTTTTAGCTATAAAATAAATATTGTAAATAATATACCTATTCGCTTAAAACCGGCATTCGCCAAGTATTGAGGAATTTGTGTTGATTTTCCACATCCAGTATCTCCAGCAATAATTACAACTCTATGTTGTTTTACTGCTTCAATGATTTGGTCTCTAAAACAAACATATTTATTGTATTAGAATAATATTGATTTTATATTAATTATTATTAGCTAACTTGAATTGATAAACAGGTAAATTTTGTTGAGCTTCTCTGAGTTTTCTTAACTTATTGAACTTTTCTTTTTGTTTAAAATCCATATACATAAGAACTAATTGACGAAACATAGATATATCTTCTTTGGTTAATGGTCTCTTTTTATAAACTTTTTCTTGATCATATGTAGGTAACCTTGACGCAAATTCTTCATCAGAGTAATACAATTTTAAATTAATTAAATCCATTTTATTAAATATTTCTGGAATTTTGAGATTAGAATTTTGGCTGGATTTATCGGAATTATCAGTGATTGTTTTTTTCGTAGTGAATGATTCATACTTTTTAACAAATAACCACAGATCATTAACATCTTCTACTAATTCTTCATTGAAAAATACTTTTTCCAAAATATGTTTATAATCCAAAAAAGAAAAGGACGTATTAGTTGTTTTTTGATGTTTCGAATGATGTTTTCCGTCATCAAAGCTTCTTCGCTTTTCTGAATACATTTTTTATAATTTTACCCTACATATAAATAAAAAAAAAAATGATGAACATGTTCAATAATTTATAATCATAGTAAAGTTTGAAAGTGAAATACCAAATAATAAATAGGTATACAATTTTTTTTTAATAAAGTTTATTAATATGTTTTAATGCCTCCTCCCCAAAATCAAATGATATTTTGTTTTCCAATTAAGAACCTAAAAATAAATTAAATACAAAAGTAATTATTAAGTCATAATAATATATAATTATTTTATTTTTTTAAATTTTACAACTGTTATTATTAATTAGTTCATACATAATTTCAAAATTAAATAAATAATAACTAGTTTAAAACGCCAATTCCACAAAAAAAAACAATAATTATTAGGACTAATGAATATTTTATCTTACTTAAATATTGACATAATATTTAATAAAATATGGTTTCAAATACAACAATAAATATATTCATTTGTAATTTAAAGTTTTCCTTTAAAATAATTATTATACCTAATGATTAAACACGAGTTTACATATTATACAGTACATTATATTTATTTAAAAATAAAATGAAAATTTAATCATAAATGTTACAGTGTAAATCACTAACTTCATCCAATATATCTTCTATAACATCAGTTTTTGATGGCAGTGCATTAGTAAATATATTACCTGGAATAAATTTGTAAGAAAAAAAAACAATTAATTATTGCATTTAATGAAAGATATTTATGGCAACTAATTTATACATAAGTTAGCTTAGATTAATGTGTATACTAGGTAAACAACAAAAGAATATGAAGTATAGGAATAAAAAAAAAATGGACATACTTCGCGCAATGAATGGGTCACTGATAAAAGTGAGAAGTTGGGAAAGTAGAGTGGAAATTTAATGTATATCTGTACTTAGCGATTACTCGTTGCCAATGAAAAACGATTCTGAGCGGCGTTCAATTATACATGTTTTAAAAAGCCATAATATTTATGATTTTAAAATAATACATTTTATATGTTTTCCCCATTTATTATGAAAACTCGTGGTAAAATCAAAAAAATGATTTCCTTAAAGTACCATCCTAGACAGACTTCCTTTCAGAAAAAGTGCTATACTTGATAATCAGAGCAAAATTTCCAGTAGAAAATTGTTTTCAAAAATAAATGTCATTGTAAAACTAATACATTCCTAGCTCCCCTCAGAATCTAAAAATCTTTAGAAACATATTTAGCCCAGTATTCATTAGTACCCTAGGAGTATAAAAAATTGCAAAATGAGGGCCTGTATCACCTGTATGTAAAATCAACCATAGGTATATAAATTTTCAAATATACAAAACATAAATTATCAGATTAGTTAAAATATGTATGAAGAGTAAATAGGAATGTATTAAAGAATGTTATAACAGAATTAATAAATAAAATAAAACTACTTGGTAAATTAAGGACATAATGAAAAAATGCATTAGAGAAGGATATATGACTGGTAAACAGAAATACAACAATAAACTGGGCAATGGATTAAAAAATAAGGGGAATCCAATTAGTGACAACATAGCTCCTGAATAAACCATTAAGCTGTTTTGAAGAAGAAATGGTATTTATAAATAATTTGTTTAGATTCTGGATAAATAAAGCTATACCTATAATTATAATAATATATGTATTTTTTTTTTATATGTGTTAAGTAAAAATTTAACAAATTTATTATATAGTATAGTAATGTATCGAAAAATAAACACATAAATATGGTTTTGAATTTCTGATTAGTTTAAACTCATCAAAACAAATATCGAATACAAGAGCAAATCATTTTGAAAAAAGTATATAAATTAAAAATTTTAGTTCCACTCTCAAATGATCATGAAAACTCTCTGTAAAAAATTGGCTAGCATACCAATTTTTTTTTTCCAATTACAAATATATAAAGTTGCCACATGAAACCAGTTTTGTGTGTAAATTACCTTTTTTAAAATGCATTTTAATAGTTGTTAGAACAACAACAGTCAACATCTAATAAACGAGTCATATTTATAAATCTAATATGGAAACCTTATCATATATCACTGTAATTACTTTGTAAATGTATAGAACAATTAAATATTGACTTTGAATAGTTTCTTGAAACAATAAAATAGATTGCTTTGTATTTATTGGAGAATAGAATGAAAAAAAAATCTATTTAATTAATTTTAATTACACATACAAAATTGATATCTATATAACTTTGTTTAAATTTGTATGATTTATAATAATTTTGCTGAGCATTTACCAACAGTATTTGAAGAAATTTTTTCGACAATAACTTTGCACTTCCGCCGTGTGTTGACTTGATAAATAGTATGTTTGTATGGTAATTCTAGAGTAGAAAAATCAACATTCAGTCCTGGATTTAATGCTGGAAGTCCAGTATAAGGATGTATAAAATCAGCCCAATATCCAGAATTTTGCAAACGATCGCTAATACCAAAAGCAGCATGTAGATACTAAAAAGTAAAATAAAATTACATTAGATTAAAATTAATTTGATATTTTTATGCCAATAAATTCTTTTTCAGTCTGTACTATATTTTGAACAGAAAACTCGCTCTAATTATCAAATTCAGGGGTAGACATTTTTATCTAATTGGTGCACTGGTGAGATAATTTTCTTTATTTTATTATACTTGTCTTAATAAAAGAAACTTCAACATTAGAAAAACAAGAATATTTACTAAATAACAGATTATTCAATATTTTAGTGAAAAATAATTTTAGAGATCTGAAATGTATACTGAATATTAACATACTAGCATTAATATCAACATTTCCTAGAATTTATATAATTTTTGAAATATGTTGATTTTTTTTTTTATGAAAATTACATTTGTTATATCTTTATATGTATGCTCAACTCTTTGATACAAGGTTTAAATACATAAGTTGTTATATAGACAATATAAAAGTATTGAAGATTCATAATCACTTTTTTTTATATAAATGGTTAACTATAAACTGAATAACTAATGGCTCCAAAAAGGAATATAATTTGTTGATTGACACAAGGAAGATATGAATGGTTGAAGTTCAAATTTTGATGACTACAAATCCATGAACATTTTGCATATTACTATTACTATTGAAACTTATATATTTTTAATTCTATTTTTTAACTCACTGTTTATAAAAATAAATATAAACATATTCATATTTACTTGTCTTGTTAAATTTGATAAATCGGTATTAGATGTTTGCTTTAAACTGATAGTAATCATACATAAATTGAACATTTTCAAATGAGGTACATTGAATCGCTCTGTAATTTCTAGTAAAATAAAAATAAAATAGCGCATAAATAAATAATAGAAAAAAAAAATATATAATAGATATACCTGATTTCAATAAAACTGGACAGTCTTGAGTAAAATAATTTAGCCGAGTAGTAATAATACAATCCTGAAAAAAAAATATAACGGATAATTAATTATGCACAATTAAACCAATTCATAATATACAAATGCCTCTCGCATAATACTCAATTAACCTTCAACTACCGGGATAAATAATTGCCACATAGTATCACAATATTATTCTTATATTTATTAGTCAAACACTATACTTTCATGTAGTTTCCTAACTACAGTATACAAACATTGTATGATAAAAGAAACGAATACAAATTTAAATATATAACTATATACATTTTATTTTATGCTAAAAAATGAAATCTGACAATTTACCCTGTGAACGTAATTGGTAATTCAGAAATCTCATGCATAGTAGAAGGTTGAAATAAAACATTATTTTAAAACATCATTGTTTGGAATTTACAAAAAATCTGCTATGTAAAATAATAAATGTATAATCAAAGAAAAATAATAACTGTTATTTTGTGTTAGGTGCATAAACAATTGAATACAGTTTAGAATTAAAATAAGAAAAAAAAGTTCATGGTTTACATAATACCTACATTTTTATTTGTACCTTTAAATAATATGTTTTTATTATTTTTAAAAATAATTTATTATTAAAAAATAAAATGACTAACCTCAGGTGCAATACCCACGTTGTTTGGTAATTTGAACTGGCTATCTTTATTCTTAGGTAGTAATTGCCAATTAGGATTTGTTCGGAATTCAGAATCTTCGATTTTCTGTATATAATAATAAATAAATGAAGACTTTTTTTAAATGTATTTAATATCATTTTGTTTTATTCGTTTCATCCATTGATTTAATTAGAAAATTAATATCATATTTAATTTATGTAAGTACTTACCAGTGCATATGACTTTTAATATAAAAACATATATCTATGTAAAATAATAAAAATAGTAGTACTTTATGTTTACTTACCATAACGAGTTCGTCTTCCTGTTCTAATAATTCTTTCCCGGTAATTTCTTTATTCCTTCGGGATTTTCTGGAGTAGGCCCTATTGGCTAACACGTAAACTAATCGTCTTATATTGTTTTCAGACATCATTCTAAAACACGACTGCATAACTGTGCACCTTTGGGTAGGGAGGAGGCAAACTGTTACTTAACTGTTGAAAATTTATGCTAAATAATGCAATAATAATAATAGTGCATAGGAGACCTATTGATATATTAATGTTAAAACAGAATTGAACAAATATTTAAAAAAGTTTATGTTTTTTTGATAATTAATTACGTACCTACCAACTAAAAAAATTATATATACTATATAGTTATTCAGTAGTTATATATATTATGTATGAAACAAAAAATCGAACAATTCAATCACAAAAGATTATAATAACCAAGTATAAAAATAATGCGAATTTCAATTTAGACAAAACTAAAAGAAACTGCGTTTCATTTATGGATAAACCTAATTTTAACCTTTTTTTAAATAAATCTAGAAAAACAAATGTACTAACCTTGAGACAGAAGATACTGAACGTAAGCAAGTCGTGCTTGCTGTTATAAAAGTTAATAGGTAATTTTTTTGATCGTTCATCAAATATTTCTTAATTGTTTTGAAATCATTTCTAAAAAAAATTATTATGGCCTATAGGTAGCTGTTTCTCTTATGGCTACTGCGTTCTTATTTTTCTACGGTCAAAACCAAAATATTGTTGTCGTTTTCGTGACAATCGACAAGTATTTACAAGTGATAAGAAAAAATATCATAATATGATAACAGTAAAGAACATAACATGATTACAACCATATATTTAATTGCGATTACAACGTACGTTCTAATAACAATATTAGATAAGAAGGCCCAGTGCTTTCAAAATTTGTATAAAATGTTGCCTATTCAGCTCCTGAAATTGTTCAACTTGTTTGTTGATTGCCTACCTAACTTTTGAAATTCTATTTAATAATATTCTAATCTAATATTTTTATTTAAATATTGCCAGTACTCCTTTTAATTATTATTTGATATTTTAAAATTAAATATTTTATATAATTAATTAATATTATTATTGAACAAATAGGTTACTATTTCTATGGTTGTGTTGGTCAAATAGATATCATGATTATTTTGTATTATTTTTAAAACCTATTACAACCTATATATTTGTATCTATAGGTACATAATTTTTGTACAAGTACCCATACACGTTATTTCATTTCATTAAGTAGATAATATTAATTTTAAATTTAAATATTAATAACCTAAAATAATTAGTTTTTAAAAGAGATAGCCTTTCTTCCAAAACGTCAGTAATAATAGTATTTAAGAATAATTGTTAAAATTTTTAAATTATTAAAAGCATTAATCATTAAATTTCCCTAATTTGGCTATAGTATTTTTAAAATTTATTGATACCTACTTAGCCATGATAATAAAAAGCAGACTTAAAAAAAAAAAAAATGTTGACCAAAATTCATATTAATAAATATACTTTATATATATTTTTACCAAAAAACGATTTTAATCAATATTCAATAATGTCTCAATTTATGTAAAACATTAAAATATTGAATTAGGAACAGGATCTAATCTCTAATCATATCAAATAACTGGGACTAATCTCCCAGTTAATTACATGGGTAGTTTAAAAAATAATAAGATCCTCGAGTACAATAATTTTAAAATATTGCCATTATCAACATAATATTTTTTTAATTTTAATAAAAAATAATTTGACGTATCTAAGTTATAATGAAACCTTGTAAACTTAAAACTTTATTTAATCTGTAATATCCATACATAAATACATAAATTAATATATTACATTGAAATAAATTAAAATGTATTTACCTCTTGAAGATAAGTTTGTTGTGGGGTAAATTAGTTATCATAAATTTCAAATGATTTAAATAACATCATTCTGTATACTAAATCTTTAAATAAATTATAAAATATATAATTTTTCCGACATATGAGTATAATCAATTTTGTTTTACAGTTACATAATTATTTTAACAAATATTCTAACTATAATTGTATCTATAGTAATTTGTTTGTTTCTTTATAGAGGTCTTTCTTGGTATTTCCAGTATGTGAAAATTAATGATCACTATGATCACTGGTAGTAAAACAAATTACTTTAATAGCATTTAATAGCATAATTCGTATATGAATATACAATATACTCTTAGCATTTCAAATAATTGAGATATTTGATTATGTTACGTTAGTGTACGTATAGGTGTTTAGTGATAACAATTTGTTATAATTTTCAAACAACCACCCGGCACTTCAAACAATTGAGTACTGACATTAAAGCATTTAATTAATGATTGATAATGGTATTGATAACTGATTGATGGTAACTGTGTTCCAAATTGTAATTTTGAACTTAATACATTTTCTAACATGTATAATGATAATAAAATCAATTTTTATCATGCAAAAACTCAATTTTCAGTCGAATTATTTGATATATTCAAATTTCAGAAATTACAGTAAAAATCACCATTATAGGTAAGTACCATCGATTTACAAAATAATTTAAGTAGAGATATGTGTTATTGTAATTTATATTAACAATCCTGTTTCACACATTGAGTATGTAACAAAATTTACTTATTCATATTTTGTGTAATATGAATAATTAAAATATTATTATAATATTATATAATTGCAAACTTCCATTAATAACTACAACATATATTGAATTACAAATGTATATTTCATGCATTTAATCATTTTTATTTTTGAGGATTACCTACCTACCTACCTATAATCTGACAGTAATGAAAATGTTTCAGATTATTCAAGTAGCTTATTTTTTAACATGCCTTGCTGCAGTAATAGGTCAGAAAAAGACTGGAAATTATTTAGACAAATACAAAATATGCGACGTGGAGATAAATGGGCATCAATAGAATCAACACGCTTGTGTGAGGTAAATTTCACCTTTGTTAAATTTAGGTAAATGAATAATGTACTTCCTGTGCTTATATTTCTATAGAAATAGCTCTCAGTTTGAAAGCCACCGAAAAGACTTGGAAAAAATGAATGTCAAATAATTTACCTACCTAAATTATTTTATGTACCAAATCCACCACTCATGATTGATCTTCTGTCACGAAAATCAGTGAATAAGGTAAGATTATTCCATAAAGAGTAAATCACCATTACTAAAGCTCTTAACAAATGCAATAACTGAAGTTTAACAATTTAGTATTTTTGTAAAACATTTTACCTGTTTGAAAAAAAATTACTAATTGTGTAGGTGTATAAGAAATTTATAATAAATGATATTATGAAATAATAAAATATCAGGAATTATTGCTATATTGCATTAATTATTTGAAAAAAACCTGTGCCTTGTTTAAACAATTTCAAATAAAATTACATACCTCAGACTTGATAGTTGTATTCTAATTATACAATAAGTTTTGTTTCATACCTACTGTTCAATTCAATATAAATTATAGGAATTCTTATTTGACTACTTTAAAGCTCAAATATTAAATTTCTTTTTTCAGAATTCTAACATAGCTCTACAAAACTTTGACAATTTAAAAACCATTCATGAGTCTACAATTTGTTCAAGATGATGTTTTGAATGTACTTCAAATCCCAGAAAATGAAGTAATCTTTAAATTTAATAATTTACCTTATAAATTAGATTGTGTAAATAATAATTTTATTAAATTAACATTTAATGCAATTGTTTTATTTACTGAAAATTAATTAACTAAAAAGTTCTGAATAAAGTAAATAGCAACTATAATCACTGTGTAATAAACTCAGTGTGTTATAGTTCAGTTTTTGTGTGTTATACATGAACTAGATCTCGCAAAAACTTTTGAATAATTATTAAACACTTGATATAATAATTTATTGTTGGTATTTCAGTAATAAAAAAAGGTATTAAACACATAAAATACAATTTGTTAACTTAGTAAACAAAATTATATCACAACTTCAATGGTGAATGTGTTAAGAAACATATGATATTGTATACAAATTATAATTTATTATTTATATTTGTTAATTTGATTTTGATAAAACCTATCACGTTAAAAATATACAAATACAGTAAATTTTAAAATTACTTTTTCTTAATACATATTTTAAATTTATAAATATTATAATTATTATACATTGTACATTACATAATATATTTTGACATTAATGCAAACTATAAGAATACAAAATTTAATTTAATACATTTTTAGTTAAGATAAAAATACAAATTTTGAATTAAAACCAAAATGTAATGATTACTATTATATAATATATAGGGAGTCGGATGAACAATTAATTATTATAATGCAAAGTGAGTACATTATTTATCAATTGATTTACAATGGTTTCGTTTATTAATCGCACAGTATATTGAGATGACTGTTGATTGAAACTGTTTGATGCCAACATTAACTAGACTATTTTCTCTTTATCAACACCATATTGATACCAAACTCTAAAAATTCAAAATACAGTTATGTATAAAATAATATGCAATACTTACCCACAACCCACTAGTGATTACACCTAGCATACATAATCAAATTTTTAAAAGTGTGGTGGTTTTAATCAATGGTAAATTGAATTGTATTTTGGAGTACATATTTTTTCAGCATTCAAAATATGAACAATATTGATCAGAATTGCATGATGCCTAGAAGTAACCATTTGATTTCCTAAAATATGAAAAAAAAATAAATTTATCTATTTGGTTTAATTGGTTTGAATACCAATGAATCATTTAGTATCATTTAAAATAAAAATGTAAAATTATTAATCAAATACATATTGAAAATTGTATGTGAGCTGTGTGTATAATATATTAGGGTAGCTGAAAATATTCCCGAAACCGGACGTGAAACTCTGAGTACACTCATATTGTAAATCAATGTAATATGTTAAAACTTGAAACAAAAATAATGTAAATAGCCTTAATGTTTATATTTTGGGGAATAATAAGAAATAATATTTGTTTTTCATAATAATTATTAATTTAATTCACATCATTACATTTGATATTTTATGTTACAAAGGCTAACTTTTGTTTGTGAACTGGTATTAAATGTTTAATGCAAAATATTGATTTGTTATGCTAGTATGATGTATTTATTATCTTTTTTTTTTTTTAGGATTTTTGCTGACATTTATTGATCAAAACGCAGATATGTACCCAAACAAATAAATTACATACAGAAAATTTGAAAAAAAAAAATTGAGACCCGTATAGTGTCCAGTACTATAAATCTATCTATAGAAATATATCTATATTATTGTTATTTACTCTTGACTTATCAAATTAATAAAGTAAAATATAGTTATGATCCATTTTATTTATTTAATGATTGCTCACCCACTTCATGATGTTCTTGTGAATATGTTGCAAAGGGTAATTTTAACTTAACAGTCATTTAAAAAATTCAATTTTACAGTAAAATAATTACAAATATGGTAACAATTAATGATCGTATATTTTTACATTATAATTTGTTTTGTAGATAATTGTTAATATTTAATCAAAAAACATGAAGTTACAAATAATAATAATAATAATAAACATGGTTGAAAGTACTGAAAAATAATACATATTAAAATAGTTAAATTATATAAAATAAAATGATATACAAAAAATCCAATTTAGTACATACAATCAGTCACGTATGTAGGAATTATTTTGACTATGGACCAATCTACCACCAACAAGCTACTTTTTTGAGGCTGGGTGGTTTTAGTTATAACATAAATAATATGAATAGGATTATAATTTTAAATACATATTTATTATTACATTATATAATAAATTTATCATTTTTTTACTCATTAGGTAGACTTAAACTTAAACTAAAGTACACTTCTGGAGACTTGGTAGAATGGATTTGTCTATGATTCTTGGAATCAATTTTATAGCACCCAGGTTATTAGCTACATTAATTGCAGATTTAAATACTTTTTTAAATTCTCTCTCGACATTTGATCTTATCTCACTGATGACTGATTGTACAACTTCTACACTTTCAACAGCTATATTTAAACAATATACATAAAATGTTTTAATTAAATCTGAAATTTCACTAAAGCCCCCCTATATACGCCTCCACTAATAATATAAAACTTATTTCATCAAATAAGCAACAAACGTTCAAATTGACTACTGTAATCCAATTGAATTTACTACTACACAGACTTTAATTGTTTTATTACTAGATTTTAATAAGTTTGTACAAAAATAATTTTAAATAAAAACATGAGAAAAAATGCAAAAATCTAGTCTCATTTCTGTCGCCACCTGGAATTGACCCAACACCCAGCCTAATTTAACCTAATGCCTTTTCCACTTACCTACCTACTTAATTGCTGAATATTTGAATTTTATGACTATATAAGTTATTAGGCCAATTTGAAAATATTATATACCTATTACAGTAAAATTTCAAAATTGCAAAATTTTTGGAAATGGGAATTTTAACCTCCTCTGAATAGTGGACACAAGTGAAAAAAAATCTATTTGGACTAATTACATATTACCAATGATATGTATTGAAAACTAAAAATTATGCTAATGTTAATGTTTTGTAATTTATATGATATTTTATAATTGATTCAAATGAGGTGATAACATCAATTACATTACAACTCAAAACATAAAAATGTAATGTATGTTGTGTGTTTAATACACACAATTTAATATGTAGATTATGTAAATCAAATAAAGAATTTTTAAAAGAAACTAGGTATGTGAATAATAACTGTATTTAAATTACTACTAATAGTACCTGATATTATAAATGCTAAATTTTAAGTGTTTAAAAAAATTGGTGTCATAATCAGTGCTAAATTCAAGTTATAATAATATTATTTACACCATTTTTAAATTTTACTATACTTTAAGTCTGGGGTGATTAGAAATTTTGATTTAATTTTTTGAATACATATTATATCTTTAGTCATATTTTGCATATCTGCAAAACAAACATTTAGATTAAATTGTATCATTATTTTGAAAAAGGTTTTTCATAGTCCTGGGCTATAATTAAAATGAAACTGTTTAATGGTTTGTAATAATATTAGTATAAAATATGAGAAATTCCGCCATGAATAGGTTCCAGGGCTAAAAAGAAACTTAAAGAAATTAAAAAAATAATTTATTTGTTCGATTTTTTTATTTATTTTATTTACTCTTGTTTCATTAAAGATTGATTTTAGATATTTTTTTAAGAGTTTCAAGTTAAAATCAAATTACCATTGGAACTATTTTATGTTATATCAGTAAGTGTATCAAAAACATATTATTATAACCTACAATTGTTCATTGTCATGGAAATGTTACACATTTTTGGTATTGACTCTCTGTAAAGTTACATATTAAAAGTAAAAATAACTACTTTAAAATTGTATACTTTAAATCTGACCTTTACCAGATTTAAGTCAAGCCAATAAAATAAGCAAATCCCTGTCTCAAACACTGTTCATGATATTGAAAATATGTGTTTTACTTAAAATATAATTATTTAAGTTTATTATTGCCTTATGCTTTTTTACGTTTATTATTATTATTTAAATAATGATTAAATTCATGTGATTGGTAAAAAGACCTATTACAACTATTAAAGCGACTTATGGCAAATTATTTATATTATACTAAAATTTGATATGAAATTATAAAAATAAAAAAAGAAAATTGTTTACTAGGTATACCTAGTATTAAATTATTTCAGAGCTAATATAATTATTATTATGTAATATTAACCTGTTAAAAGTATTTTTCAAATGTATGTTGGTATAGTATATCTAGATTTGTAATAAATTGTAATTATAATTCCACTGCCAAAGTGTGCACACACAATATTGTTATGTGCATTAATTATTATCTTGATTCTAGCCCTTAGGGACTATAAAAAAGTTAAAATGTTCAATTCTTACAGACCACAGTGTTTATGCACTTGTTTAACTTACTTTATTTAATGTGCATGTGCTTATATAATTTTTTATGTAATAATAGATGAAATATTTGATTTGTTCAAAAATTAAATTATAATAAAAAGCATTAAATATTATACAAAAAAATTTAATTGACCTATTAAGTTAATATGCATGACTAAATAATTATTATTTTGTAATGAATCATTGTCATAATATGATATGGTTAAATAAATACAATTTTTTTAAGCAAGTAGCTTTTTTGTAAAAGAACCGCAGATATTATTGTACAATATATTTATTTTTTTTATTGTATACTTACAAAATATATATCATAATTTATAACATATTATTTCTGGTCTTTATAATTGATAAGTACCTATTATTATGACCAGTTCCGCAATCACCTTTGTGGGGTGAACTCCCAAAACTATCCAACTTTTAGAAGCAATATCTTGTCAAAAAAACAGCCTTATTAATTTATGAAATTTTAAGTATAGATTACGATTTGAAAATCAAAAGTTGATTGTGGTTTGCCTAATAAATATAAGGGTGAAAAATATAAAAAAAATTATACCATTTATTATTATTAACGATTATTGCATTACATTTAGTAATGAGTGTCTTCTAGGGTTTTTCAATATAAGTTTATATCACCTTTTATCCCCGTGATGTCCATCCTTATAGTTGGTTTGGTTGACAAGGAGTTATGTATTAATTGCAAAATTAATATTATTGTTTACAAATTAGTAACATATGTATTATAAGTTATTATCCTAACTTGTTTACATTGTATTACAATTTTTTAAATAGTCCAAGCAACAAATTAAAATTGTAATTTTCGATTCTGAGTGGAGCGAGTAATGTATTGGTTTTATAAAGGTGTTTATTTTTTTTTCTGTGAATAACTTTTCTATTGGCAATTTTGATCCAATTTACAATAATCACACTTTCCAAAATGAAATCTGATTGGAAAGGTACTTTAGGGATATCATTTTTTGATTTTCCTGGGAGTTTACTCAATAAATGGGAAAATAGGTACAATTTTAAACAAATATTTTTAAAGAAAATATGCATATAGATATACATTAAATTTCTCCTCTACTACCTTCCTAAATTTACTCCTATAACAGTAGTTTCATCCATCCCCAATATCCTAGATCAGTTTTTTAGTGTTTATATATGTTTTATATATTAATAATAGACAATTAGTGTAGGTACTTATCTTTTTCTTAATAAGTCAACTAATACTTTAGTTCTTATTCCGTATAATATTGTATTCATATAACAATATTGGCTTTCTGAAAGTTTTACAAAACAATCTTTTCAGCTAAATTATATTATTTGGTACTGTTTCCTTATTACATGAGTAATAAATAATTAAATACCTAGTCATACAATTGACCATTTTACCACTTATGTAAAATTACGACTTATAAAATATAATACATTTTTGAAAGTTAAAACAATTACAATTGTTGTTTTAATACTTTCATTTGTGTGCTACTACTATTTCTCAATTGATGAATTGAGGATTATAAATTGAAATACCTAAATATTTTACCGTTTCAATCACTGATACCTAGATATACAATGTTACAATTGAAGTGAACTTTATGAAATTTGTAAATAAAAATATTACATACTATTTAAGTGTTCTTAATGCAAATTTTATTTAAATATAATTACATTGAAAACTATATAATTTAGTTTGACATTATAATAATTATCTACTTAAGTATTGACTCATTGGTTATTAAATAAAATAAGAAACAATTGTGTACACATAATATATAAGTAGATACAATAAAACTCGATTAATGTTTTTAAATACTATTAACTAAATATTAATAGTCTTAAATTTACATTGAATATCTTGTTACTAACGAATAAATGTAGAACTATTAACATTATTATTACTATTTGATTAATGTAGGTACCTATGTCATAGATGTGAGAAAATGAAATAAAATAACATGTATTTATTTATTATTTATAAAATAAACATTGGACGTTGAATAGTTTCAAGGAATTTTAATTTTAAAAATCAAAGTTCAGTGTAACCTGCATTAAGTCTTTTCTCTTTCAATTTATTAAACAAAAACATCAAAATCTAACTATTTTACAAGGCTAATTTTTCCCAAGGAGGATGTTTTTGTACACCATATAATGCAGCTTCTGCTATTCCAGACCTCAAAAGGTATAAATTTCCACTTATACTCAAGACATAAAACCTATGTTGGAGACAAATTTATTTTCAAAAACTACAAAATAATAGACATTATATATTTTTTAAGTCATTCATAATATACTCTTAGGTACTAGAAATTTATAAAAATAAACTAAAGTTATTAAGTACCAATATTACTGTTTACTATTTAGTGAAAAGTAAATGTGTTTCAGTGACAAGTACATACAGTATACAGAATACCTATAAACCATATTGCTGAGTCATTTATTCTACCCTGAATATTATTGTGTTTATGTGTTTAAATAATAAAGACATAAAATATTATATTATGTTTTGCAATGGCTATTGTATTTTGCTTTTGTTTTATTTTGATTTGACAGTATAATGTTGAATATTTATAAAGACACCATATAATATTAAGTATTTTGAATAAACCCTGGTCCAGAATCTGATAAGGCCGTGACAAATACATCAATATGAGTGTCCTGTGTTAATTTTTTGTACTGTGTCCCATACATTTTTCTTGACTTTTATTTAGTCATGTTAGAGGTATGGAAAGAAAAAAACAATTACAATAACATATTATAACATTAAATTATTAAGATTCAACAAACTTTGTAAGTAAATATAACATTTTTTTAAAACAAAAAGTAATACATAATATAATAATAAATGATGTGTAACAGTGCATTATAAAAATATTTAAATTCGTGAGTACATTGTTATTTATATAAATATGTGTGAGCTTGATAAATATCAGTGCGTATAAATGGCTATGGATATAATATAATATTAATAGATATTGCATATTAAACAAAACAAAGAATAACATCAAAGTGTAAGTGTACTATTTACAATTTCGTTGATAAAATCGTTGCAATTGTCACCTTTGTTGTTTTGGACAATCCAATCCCATCCTAATTGGTCGTCTAAATCACACTCTGACTGTGCATCATCAACTCCTAAAAATTAAATGTACTCTGTACAATAGGTTATCAACATGAAAACTGAATTGAATAAGGTATAAGGTATGTATAATGTATAAGGAATCTTAATTGTGATACACACTCAAAAGAATGATTATTGACAACAAATATTCCAAAATTTAAAGTAACGAGGTTTTATCTTATAAAGAATACCTACTTACATAAATAAATAATATTGTGTTTTTAATGATAATTTGAACTTAGGAAAATCTAAAAAGTTTTTCACATACATGTAAAATGTACAAGTAATGTATCTAATAGTAATAGTTACAAAATGGTACTGATTTTTAGAAACATTAAAAATTGAGTTTATAAATGCTTTAAAAAAAATCCTGACTAATGACTACAGAATTTATATATTATTATCATAAGGGAAAAGGTTTAATAATTTGTATTCACCAAACCAAAAAACTCAAAAACATTTTAAATAGCTGAAAAAATTATAAAAAAAAAAACACCTGAACTTTTTCAAAATGACACCACATCAAGAAAGTGCTAATATGAGACATATATTTTGTAAATATTTTAGGTTGTTACATTTATTTTTCATCGAATTAAAACAGAAAACTAAAAGTGGAATTATCGGAAAATGTATTTGTGCAGATACTCAGGTTTATTCTGATTTCCCATTATATTTCTCTAAAATAATACAAGGAAAATAAAAAAATTACATCTAAATTCACAAACTAAACAAAATATTTGCTAATCATAAATCACCTCTAAAGTTGGTCATTGAAATAAGATTTCTGTTTACATATAGAGGAAAAACTACATTGTAAAACTAATTCACCAATATTAACATAGGCCTTTAAACTGAGTATATAATAACCGACCAATCATGACCGGTTATCATATAAACTCTGTTTAAAAATCAACTTTTACATTTGTGAGAATGGTCCTCAAAAGAGTTTAATAAAAATTTAATTTTATCAGATTTAAAAAAATAAAAAATAAATCTCTAATTATGAGATGATGCATGAGATATTTTTGTATTAAAATTTCTAAAATATTACCTATTATGTATAAATTAAAAATAGGTATATATAAATATAATTTATAATAATTAATCTAAATTAATTGACTGTTGTATTTCATTAAAAAATAATAATTGTAGAATAATAGTAAAAGAAGTAAATCAATTCTCTATAGGCACCTTGTATAAATGTCCATCCTCTCTCTTTTCTCGTACACTCGTCTGCTGTAATTCTGATTAATTTTACATTATTGTAATTGGCTTTGAACCATGCAATATCAGTCTTTCTTCTAGCATCACTCACAATCCATATTTCTTTTGATTTATCTAAAAATAACAATAAATTAGGAATGTAAAAATAATAATTCCTATATTGAAGTTTATTAAATATTGTTTCAACACTAACTTTGGTCATACATTTCTATTGCCATACGGCAAAAATAGCCATAATCGTTGAAGCGTATATTTTCACTCCAATCAATCATCGCCTTACGGTGTTGCTCCTTCATTTCACCATCACTTAGAAGTTCATCAAATTGAAGTGATTTAGTTTGTGCCCAATACTTTTTAATGGGACCCGAAAGGCGGATTATTACACACTTTTCTGGTCCTATTCTGCAATTAATTAATATTTTGATATTTAAATAATAGGAGTTTTCATAAAATTAATTTTAAAAATAATAATAATTTACACATTTTTTTTTTTTAATAAAGTTTTATTATTTTATTTAATAATTATATTAGAGTGTAAACAAGTTTTATAATTTCTAAATAAATATTTAAAAGTAAATTCTTTCTAAAATTAGTTTTACAATAGTTTCTACTTCAGCCATAGCACCAATTCCATGATCACCGCACATCAATGTCTTGACAATCGGAGGAACCAGATAATATCCCCATGACACCAATTTTTTCACTTGATCATTGGTAACAGGATGATCCCACATACGAGTATTCATTGATGGACAAAACAATACTGGTTTTGAAATATCCCAAGCTCTAACAACACATGTCAATAAATTATCACAAATCCCTGTACTAACTTTGGCCAGGGTGTTAGCACTCAAAGGAGCGAGTACCAGTAAATCTGCTTTTTTCGAAAGTTCTATGTGCAATACGGGATCTCCTCTGTTTTTCCAAGCATCCCATTCATTTTGATCGGTATAAACATCTACTTTGAAATCCTTCTTGATTTTTTCCAAGTCTAGAAAATGTTTACTAGCTTCTGTGACTACTAATGTTATTTGAATGTTATTCTGAGCGAGTTGTGAAATGATATCTGGTATTTTTATGGCAGCAACGCTGGCACTACAAGCGATAATTACATGTGGTGGCATAGCTGTTATTGAGGTTTATTACCATCAGTATTACTTTCAACATCGGCAAGTCCAAGTTTAGGCCACTGTTCTTTGGCCATCAAATCATTTTGCATACGACAATCCAAATATTCTTTGGCTTGCTGACGACACTTTGAGTTGTCTCCGTTGTTAACACTCAAACAAAACATATACCTGTAAGCGGATTTTTTACACTGGCCTTCGTGGTCTAATGGAAAACTACCTTTTTCTGGAGGTGTTGGTTGGAATTTTTTTTGACCAAACGTTGAAGAAGACATTTAATATAAATGCTTCAAGGAAATCGTAAATTGAATTTTTTTTCTACCTTAGTCCTTCTATAATAATTAACCATGGAGTAAACACTTCACCACTTTAAAAATGTCCCATATAGGCATGTAGCAGAAGTAGACATTAGTAATTTAATATTTAATAACCTATATTTTAATGAGCGGTTTTGATAACATACTCTGAATACTCTGATAATAGTATCACAATATTAACAATATTACACAAATGTATTCGATATTGTCATATCAAATATTATTTTATTTATTAACGTTCAGCGACAGTTTTATGAGTAATCATTAACCTTATTTATTTTGGGGAGGGGAGTGGGTCTTTAAGACCATTCCATATAACAAATTCTCCTCCATATCCTTCTGTATGTAGTCTGTCCTAGCGTACCTTTCTCCAGTTGATTCTTGGGTTACAGCTATGGCGTTTCTTTTCACAATCATAGATTTACACCTACTAGTAGTATAAGGTGTATATAAATATTCTTAATAGACAAATTGCAATTTTATAAAATAAAACTATTAACTATTATTGTTAATGTTGTATAGTAATGTTATGGGACACTGAATAATTAAAAATATTATGTCATTATTAATAATAAATTGAATAGTGTATTGATTACCAAATGTAAAAAAAAAAAAAAATTATAAAAATAATCTGTGAAAAAAAAAATGGTTATTTTATTTTTATAAACACAATTAGAATAACACAAGAAGATCTATGTACAGTGTATGGTTTTTTTTCAATTCTGTTTTATTCACCATTAATTAGAAATAAACAGTATACATTATTACACACAATAGGTAATATGTTAACTACAATCAATTTATGTAACAAAAACTTAATTAGGATTGCATTGTACGTCTTCCCATTTCTTGAACATCATTGACACTATCGATGGATTGAGTTACTTGTACCGAATTGATTCTGAGCATAGTAATTTCTTTCCTAATGAAATTAATTCGCATGTATTGTTTACGTTTAATACGTTGAAAGTTTGTTCTGGTATGGGACAGGTCTTTGTCGACAACCGTTGCCGTGACGCATACTTTATTCGTGTCCAATATGGGTCTTCCGATCAACGTGAAGTCTTTGCCTCCAACTAACAATACCTTTTGAAGCTTAAGGCGGTCGCCTACGTTCGGTGGCCAGTAACCATCTATAAGTATCAGGTCATTATCGGTAACTTTGAACTGCTTACCACATACATGCACAACGGCAAACAGTCGATTGTTGTTTTTCACGGCTTCGTTAACAGTTTTTATTACACTGTCGGATAATGTTTTATACGTTAAGGTATTATCGATAACATATTCTTGTGTTACCGGAGACGAAAACGAACGTGCATAATTATTCTGTATACTCGAAGCGATTATTCGACTAGTGGGTACGGTTTGTATGGTTTTGCTTACCAAGTTCAGTATTTTGTTACACAACATTATAACCGTTTAAGACACTATATTTAACAATATAACAAAAATTATTAACAAACGTAACGATTAATATTAAATAATCATTTATAATTACAGGAAAAAGTGTTACATTATTTTTTGTTTTTGTAACTCGTTTGATAATGATAAACGCGAATTTCAACATAACCTTAAAATTGAAATGTTATCTGTTATCGAGATAAAACGAAAAATAATTGATAATGAGAACAAATTATCTCATCTATATTATCCCTAACCGTAGCAAGGGGGGTATTAAACACATCGTAACCGAGTAACTTAAGTAGGCACTGTTATTATTTGATTATATTAATATTATTATATTTTTTAAATTATCATTTGATACTTCATTTATTTTGTGTCACTACACAGGATAATTTTTCTTTCAGGTGGGTTCTGTTGACGAACTTACTTGTAATTGTAGCGATAGGCAAAATTAAAATTAAAAAAAAATTAAAATAGAATAATTTTTTTTTTGTCAACAGTTTTAAAAGAACTGCTATGAGCAGCTCTAATATGAACCAGACATATCGCGGATGAACAAAACATAGATAATATATAAGTCATGGACGGGACATTAAGTTGAGCGTTCAAGACGTGTTCAAGTCAAGGTGCTTTAATAAACCTTGGTTCGAGTGATCGAAGAGCATACTGATTACATTTAATTAAGGTGTGGTATCAAACACCATAATGATAACGAAAACGCAATTCACCGATCACGAATAAAATATTTTAATTCGTGTCACCGACTACCGGTCGCCTAACGGTCACCGCAATAACAAATTCGGAAAATAATATTATTCAGAGGCAAATTAATAGGTACTTACAATAGTAAAACACAAAAATCGGCACAAATCAAATTTATAAAAAATGTTGTTTATCATAAACCATTATCTGTAACCGCATATACCATTACGGTGACCAGTAGACTCGACATCGCTCACAATATACCGAATATAGGGATGTCCCATCCATGTATATATTATCTACGGAACAAAAGTATTTATTGCGATTATAAGTACCCAACATATTATAGAGACAGGTAATTTTGGATTGTCAATTGACAATTGTCCACGTTAAAAATCATTACGTTTTTTTTTTTTTTTTTTAATTAATGCTGACATGAAATAGCAGGGTACCTATCGGTGATCTCCACAGGTAATTTGATAATTGAAATCACAGACTGCTAATCCGGTACGAAAATATCAGTGACTGCTCTACGCACTCATTCACAGCGGTCGGGATTTTATCACGGTAGCAGTCGGTGCTATTTTCACTGTTACTACTGCTGACAAAAAAAAAAAAAAATCACAGTTAGCCGTCTCTATTTTTAATAATAATTCATCCGCGGTGACACCGCGATTACCACGACACCCGATACGGTCTTCTAAAACTGCTTTATCAACATTATTATCACTCGGCTTGTTTACGGATGTCGGTTGTTATCAGCGATACTACAGCCGACGAATATTGTAAGAAACGGTATCAAGGCGGACCAACTCGGCAGGGTGGGTATATTATTAATTTGGTTTAGTTATCGCGCGAACGGGTACCTGTGCGCTTCAATAGGTCTACGACAAACGGACAGTATATTTTTAAAATAGAAATTTCGGACGAATCGCCAACGCAACGCCGGCCGTTTGGTTTTCGATAACATTGTTTTCTGTTAATAATAATAATAATAATAATAATGTGGAATCGGCCGTCACCTTTTGTGGATCGCGTCCGTCACGTAGTCCTTTCCGCATTTCCTTTTGCCGCTGAACAACAGCACGGTGGTCGGGCGCCGTCGTTCGTCTCCGGCCGCCATGTCGACGATTAATATTTGTTTTATTTGCGTAGGTGTTTATTATTGCGTCTCGGGACGCCACGGGCCTGTCGACGTTCGCGACCGCCGCGGTACGACGACGTTACTGGTCACGTTACCGCCGCCGCCGCCGCCCGTTCAAAGCCAAACGGTTCTTGCGAAGCCGACGGCGGCACGTCGGATGCCCGCGTTTTGACGGAGCGACGACGGCGCCGGGTGGGAGCGGTAACGTCCGGCCCGGCGGCCCACCGCGACCGCGGCCGCACTCGTACGGTTAACGGAATATCCCACCACGCGGTCTTTTCGTGCGGCCCGTGCCTAAAACGTCTGCAATACTCGACACCGTGCGCTTACAGTGCCGGGTTACTAACGTAACGCAAATTACGAATTACCGTAACGAAATTAATTTTTCAGCGACGCAGCAGTAATTCCATTGCATTTCACTCGGAGTGACGTAACTGTTTTTAAATATGCAATTGAAAATCGATTGCGTTCGTTTTCGATTCCGACAATAGTTTTTATATTTAAAATTTACGATCTGTGTTCAAAAACACAATGAGTAAATATAATGGCCGCGCGTAAAATAAATAACAATAACAACACGATGGCCTGATGAGTGAGGCTGTCCAGTGACAGAACCCCGCAGATCGCGATAGTTAAATTAGTTTAATAGATCTCGTCGACACCGGCGTCTTTCGAGACGACGCGGGTGTTGGTGTCCGGGGAATGTGATTGAGGGGATAAACGTCGGATGAGAGGATTTGGACGGTTTTGCAGTCTGGTACGGGATAGTTGGTAACAGTTGACGATACTGTTGAACATTGCAGGAACTGTTGTTATTACATTACTGGCAGAAAGAAACGACTCCGGTATTGTTACTAATAATTATGATTCGTGTGACTCGTGGCTCATGAGTCTCGCTGCCTGTCTGTTATCGACGATAGAAAAAAAAGGAAAAAAAAAGAAATGAAAAGAGAAGTAACGTTATTCATAACGTCCCATTTGATTAATGGAAAAGTTACGTAACGCGATAGAAAATAATTTCGGGCGGCGCAAACGTAATTTAAATAAGAACATCCGCAGTGATGAGTACCGCGGTTTCATAACTTTTAAAAACGGTAATTCACCCGACACCGCGTGCACAATTGTTATGAAATCCCGACGCGCTGCGCTTTTAAAGAGCACATAAAACGCACGCGACACCATTCCGTTTACATGCCTAATTATTCGTGTTTATCGCGTATATTTTTCAAACTTCTGACGGACAAGCGGATACTGGAGATCGGTGGCGCAAATGGCAAAAGAAGTCTTATATTTTTTTTTTTTCACGCTCTATAGTCTGCTCGCGGTTGTATTTTATTGAAATAGTAACGTAAATTTACAAACATTTATGCGCCTACAATAAAGTTAAAAATCAGATCGCGTATAATAATTGCCTGTTCTGGTAATATAGTATGTTTAACATTTTTTTTTTTTCCCCCTCCAAAATATTGACTTTTCTTTCAAACTGTCGGTGTTATTTCCCGTCGCTCTAGAGTTCGGCCGATTAGTATTTAAGGCGTTAAATTATTTTCAAAGTGCCTAGGTAAAATTTAGCATTGTAAAAACTATAGCCGGTATTTAATGCGATTCGGCGATATGGGCCTAAATCGTGCAAACATTTTCGAATCGGGCCGATTTTTCTGAACATTTTCCGTTCGCTAATATTCGTTTTCCCGTGAAAACTGCCAAAGCACGTATATAGTCTGAATCCCTCAAATGACGACCCTGCTGGAGATCGGCACAATTTTTTTGTCGGCCCGGACCAGCCCGAAACTCGAATTGAAAAATCGTTACCCGACCAGAACCGGTTTATACATTTTTATTCGAACGCCGAACCCGACCGGGCCGGTTCGTCATATTTTTTTTTTCATCGCGAACTCAGTCCGACCCGACCCGTTTCTATTCCATCAGGTACAATCTGTCATTTTATTTTGTTACAGTATTGTCTGAACTACTGTTGTAATAATTCAAATCGCTGGCCACCGTGTTTAGTGAAAAAATCACGTCCGCGCACGTTTGAAATAAAAAGCCATAGAGTATTGTTACCTTTCCAGTATTTGACATGCGTTATCCAATAATAATTTTTCGCACATTGCACACGAATTGCATTTTCTTTTTTATAGAAATCGTTTTACAACAAAAGGCAGTATATTGTCATACGAATATAGTTATTTTTATCACTAGTGACTATGTATGGTCGCGCATCTAGTGTATATACTATTGAAAAAGACTACTGACAGAGGTCAGAGAGCGAGTAGCGGTGAAAAAAAAATTAATATGAAAATTTAGATTATTTTGTGCGAACGCTCATCCGTCCATGACCAACCCGGAGTATTTTTCTCGTGGGCCGTGCTGATATCTAATAGGTACCCGAAAACGGGTCTATTGAATGAAAAATTAAAAGGCCTGACAGAAGACCATTTTTTTTCAGGTCAATGTCGCGCAAATTCGAATCGATTTGTTGCATGCGGCCCGTAAGAAATTTTCAAAAATTACGATCGGCCCTTTTCAAAATTTTTACAGTGGGGACACCACGGGCTTTATGACGTCGTCGATAGTTTTAAAGAACTATTTTTTTCTTCGCTGTGAGTATCGACACAAGCCGATATTGAGGATATTTTTTTCAAGACCCGATATTTCCGGAAAAAATTATTCTAGAATTTATGAGAAAAACGTTATAGAAATAAAAAAAAAAAATCCATGGTCTTCAACCAAATAAATTGATCAATTTCAATATGATCGTATCGTGTGGTTTTCGATTTCAAATATCGCATCGGTCATATTATATAATATGTATCGGAAAAAAGTTATACCGGCTCGCTATTAATTTTTTTCTCATGATCAAATACTTTTATCCGGAAAAACTAATCGACTCGTTTTGACGCAAATCGTAAATATTAAGGTTTTTTAAAACACGCATAACCGAACTTCGCTCCGAATTGCTTTTCGTTAGCAATGGTTTATCGCTGCGTACAGATATAAATTAAAGAACTTTATGTTGTAGCCTACTACCATTCCAACTTTCCACCCACAACAGTGGCACACCCGTTTCCCGTAGTATAAGCTCGTTTTTTTTTTTTTTTTATTTTATAATTTTACTTAATATACCAGTTATATTTTCTTTGCGGATGAGTTTTATTGAACTAACGGGGAAACAACATGATTACGTTTGTTCAGGTGTAAACAACACTATGGGAATAATAAGTGCCATTGAATTTTAACCTTTAATCGCCCGTGCCGACGCAAAACGACAAAGTAGTTACATAACAATAATAATAATAATATTATTATTTATATTACATAATTACAGTGTAAAAGTCGATTCAATTGATTTTTTTTTTTCTTATAGTCAATCAATAATTTCAATCGTGTATAACGTTCAGAACAATTCGAATTCATATTCCCGCGGTTCGGCGTTTAATTATTGTAGGTATTGAAATAGAATATTGGATAATAATTAATACCGATGTCCAACGGTTGACTTGGGAGTAAAAGTAGTATCCGTAATAGATATTACTTTATTGGGTAGGTACTAACTACTTATTTTACAAACCGCGACACAATCAATATTATGTTATCGAGATATTAATATAATATCCATTTTCATAAGAAACTCACAACGCTTTCTAGCGGTCAAACTTATCCGTGATTATGAAAAAACGTACAATATAATAGATGGCGCGCCTTAATTGAATAATAACAATTTAATGATAATGCCTAACAGCCTATATTCTTATACTCTGTGTTAATGCGAGTATATGATAGAGATTGGGCAATAATAATATTAACTGCAATAACGAGTTTATTCAAGATTATGAAATACTTCCGACAACGCATAAAATTGTCATTATTGAGTTTCGATTAATTACCTAAGCAGTAAGCACACATAAGTAGTGCCGGATTACCCATTAGGCGGGGTAGACGTCCGCTTGGGGCCTCATTTGTTTTAAACGGAAAACCATTCCCCCCCCCCTTAAATTATACACGGATTTACGCCGTTAGCGACACTGTTTTATTGGATTTTTTTATGGTGAATTTATGGTGAAGCACGTAATCAGTTAGTTTAGAAACGCACAAGAACAAGTAGGTATGACTGGAAAGTAGCGATTTGTAACAAAACAAACAAGTTCCATTGGATCAAGTGAGTTTTGACGCTAAACGCTACTTAACTATACTATTTTTCACAAAAGAACGGTAAAGTCTCGACGAAAACCAGTCATTCTTATGCATCCCCACGCCGCACCTTGTCCAGGGCTCCCATCACTATCGAGCGCACGAGTCACATCGGTGGTCGGGCAGAGATCCGTAGCTCAGTGTGCGTCCGAGAAATACTACCTTTCTCTCGTGAAAAATAATGTCAAAAATCACATGATTCATAATATGAAAGTTTACATATTCCATTTCAACTATTATCAAACCTCAGACGTAATGTAGAAATAAATGCCGAATTCTAAGTGATAAAAAACAAAACAGCTTCCATCGCCAGCAAAATCAGTACCTAGGACAGTTTACACGAGTATTATTATACTCGCCAAGTGTAGTAGCCGGGAAAATAGCGACCGAATTTGCGTTCGGTGTAAAGCTTTAAGATGCGCTCTTATGAAATCTAATTTATAATGAAAATTCAAAACTGAAATATTTTTACAAACTACAATCGAATGCATGGGCGTGCGCAAGATTTTTTGCAAGGTGTACCACGAGGAAAATTGGCCGTTTTTCCTTAAGTGGGTTTAATATCTTCATTCCTAAAAAAATAAATAAATATTGAATGCAAAATATCAGTTCATTAAAAAACCATATTGTTTACTACCTATATTCCACAAAACAATTATGAAATATCACAATATGTATTATGTTTTATTTATTATGAAAACCCCTGGGAAAATCACAAAATGAGTTCCTTGAAGTACCACCTTAGCCAGATTTCCTTTCAGAAAAAGGTGTTACACTTGAAAATCGGTGAAACATGTCTGATAGAAAAGTTGTTCACAAAAAAAAAAAAAAAAAAAAAAAATAAACAACATTGTAAAATTAATATATTCCTCGCGTATACAAAAAAACTAATACTGGGGACGGGTCCGTCCCATAGAGTGAATATATGTCCTCAAAATTTTAGCGTTATTATAGT